CCGCGCGGCCGAGGTCAGTGACCTCCCCCCCCACCAAGGCCGCGCGGCCGAGGTCAGTGACCTCCCCCCCACTAAGGCCGCGCGGCCGAGGTCAGTGACCTCCCCCCCACCAAGGCCGCGCGGCGGAGGTCAGTGACATTACTGTAGTATGTATAATACATGTAATACAATACATATAATACATATAATACAATATAAAGTATAATATTATAAATATATAATAAATTATATGTATAATATGTATTATTTAATGTTATATATAATATAAATTACAGTCACGTTATTTTCACGTGTTGTTTTTCTACTCTTTCTTGTCACGTGACTTTAGTTACGTTTTTAATTTTCTCTACATATACGACGAACTGTATCAAAATCGCTTTTCATTATTTACTCTCTCGATCTTACCGATTCGATTCGACTCGATCAACCAACCAACTAATCGGCAACGCGGAAAAGAGGCAACAATAAGTGCAATATATTCGACTCCAAACGCGCACTTCTTGGGGGGTACACATGCCTTTTTTAATATAGGATAATTGCGTTCTCAATCAAGTTGTTTTTTATATTTATCAAGAAAAAATCACTCGAAACTAATCAAATGCATAATATTTCTTATCACGGTTTATCTCTTTTTCTCATAATCAACTTCCGCCGATTTTGCACACTCTATAAACAAAATAATATACTCCCTAGAGAAGATTATGTTTGCAAGAGAAGAAGTACACGATTATTAACTCAAAACGAGGCTTCATCGGTCGTCTGTCACTGTCAAAGAATAGGAGAGTGGCAATCAGAATTTCCTTTTCGTGACGCCTGGTCAATTCGTGGCTATCGCACGATGTAATTTTTTTGCAGGAAATTACTCACTTTTCTCTCCTCGTTCACATTCTTGGTTTTGCAAAGAGCCGCGTGTACACTAGCGATCAAAAATTTGCGGAAACAGGCGCGAAATCACACCTCTTGCCCTTAGACTCCTTATTCCGCGCGCATTTTTGATCGCTAGCGTACACGTCGTTGAAATAAATCAACGCTTTACGCGTCGATCGAAATCGCGATTCTCTTCCAAAAATCGTGCCCCGGTTAATTTTCGCCCGCTTCTGCCACATCTCGCGCGTCTTATCTCTTCAACTTTTAAAGTTAATTTCTTCCGAATACTTCCAAGGTTATCCGGACATCTTTACGGCGCGATTCGCGTCGATTTACTTGTGGCCCTACCTATATAAGAACGAGCGCCTAAAGCACAAAGAGGGGACAGATAAGAAAACACCGATCGATCCCGCGGGCGAAGAATCACGAAAAAAATGAGAGAAGTTATGGCAAAAGGTAAAGACGAAAAGAAAGTTACTTACGCTATCGCGCGCCTCGACCCTTTCAAATTGCCAGCGAGCTTCGATCTTATATAGATGCTCAAAATTTTGATTATATTTTCCGAAAGTTTACGAGTTTCAATTTCGATCTGAAATAAACTATGTTTTCTCTATTAAACCACAAGGAATATCTTTGGAGCAGCCTTACTTTACCATTTTATACGATTTGTTGTGTATTTCTTTAACAGTAAAATACATGAAATATTTATATGAAGAAGTAATGTATATCGCAAAATTATTGCTTAAATTTCAGAATATTCTGTAATATATATATATTATAATGACAGTGAGTTTAACACAGGAGTTTAAATTGATAAAAGCTTTGTTACATTAAACTCGTTTTATAGACGCGCCTGTGAAAACCAAAATATCTACAACGATCAAACATTTTTAATTTAATTTAGTTAAGATTTCTCTTCTTACATTTTTTTTGTGAAAGTTTCTCGCTTTTATGTGTCAGAAATTTTTAATTTTATAACGCGCTTGCTAATTACAGTCATTTTAATTACCTTTTATCCTAAACCAGTAGAAAAGCAGCTATAAAAGTCAAACACGTAGGTAAAATCCGGGAATAAAAGGGAACATAAAATCTAGACCTTTTCCAAGACGGCTTTAAGCAACTGGACCGCGCTAAACCTCGGAATCCGTGATTTCAGAGACGAGGAGTAATAAAATCCGTCGGATATCGCGCTCTGATCGCCGAAGGGGATATCGCGCAGGTTCTCTCCGTGCGCGGCAAAAGAAAAGGGAGAAAGAAAAGGGGGAGGGGGGATTTCTTAGCCCTTCCGGTTTTAAAGAACTCGCCGCGGTATAACCTTTGACCGACGTACCTTTCAGTCACGCCGTGAGCAGAGAAAGACGTCGAAAAGCGTGTTTTTCTCCTCTCTTTCGTCCGTTTCTCGCACGGCGGTGGTAACGAGCACGAAACTTATCCTACCCCGAAATCGCCGGCGAGAAATTGCAAAAGCCGGACACAAAGAAACACTGCGTGAGCTGCACCGACGAGAGAAAGAGGAAGATCGTATCTCCTTCGTTTCTGTCATGTTCGTGGCCGAAATGCAAGGAACGAAACGAACAGATGAACGAACAGACGGACCGGTCGTGACACGAAGTGCGCCGCGTGTACATTGTAACGCACGGTGCGTGTTCCCTCTCGATGTTCCCTCTCGTCGATCATTCTCCTCTTCTCTCGGTAGTCGGTCGCGCAACAGAAGAACGGAATCCGGAAGATGTGCAGACTCATCCACGAGAATCGGGCCGCGACCGGCCCGATTTTGACAGATCCTCCTGGCATATGTGTGTATGTGCGTGCGTGCACGATGGGGACGCCGGTAAAGACCCGCTTTCGAGTTGAAAAAAAAAAGCGACGTCAAAACGGCGGCTCTCGCAAAGGTTGAAATGCCTATCCTCTTCTTTTGCAATGTATCACGCGCTTTATAAAACTGTGCGAGAACTGCGCGGAACGAGATGTTTGATATGCAACTTTGACGAGGATTAAACTCCATTAGGCTATGTACTTCACGCAAAGTTACGAGTAGTATTTCTTTTTTTTTCTGAATCGCAAAAAGCGAACTTTTAATTATAAAAGTAGTTCTTTCATCTTTTATATTGCAAGCGCCCCTTTCACACAATCTCTAGACGAGTTCTCTCTCTCTCTCTCTCTCTCTCTCTCTCTCTCTCTCTTTCTGCGCGGATATACAAACTCCGTTTCTCTCGTATTGTACAAAGGGCAAGTTTAAACTTTTTCTTCTCTCCCCGATGTATTTCTTCCACATCTGGGTTTTCCTTGCGATATCACGTAGCTTTGAGAGATCCCGATGTTGCTCGCGGTTATATATCCCCGCAATGTTCTTTATCGCAGTGTCGTGATACCTAGTCGTAGAATCAATAATAAAAGTTTTGTATAGCGCACAAATATTTGAGCAATATATAATACGTGTGAGCAAAAAATTGAAAACTTTCTTTTAAAATCTATTAAAGTCTCAAGGAGAATTTAATAAAATAACAATATTAACCACACCAGACAATTATTGTTACTTTAAAATCCTATAGAGAAATCAATGGAAATCCTAAAATTAGTGGAATTCAAATCGATACAATTAATTTTATTGTTAATACAATGCTTCGCTTTCAAACTCATCCTCATCCGTACGATCCGCAAAGGAAGCAATTTTCATAGGCACAAAGATATTTTCTACACATAAAACACAGCGATGATTCATGTTACGAGCATTGCGTAACTCGATAGACTCCCGAGAATTTACGACCATCCAGTAATCATTTCTGAATACCCTTGCCTCATATCTATCTTTATTACGTCTTTAAAACCTTTGTGTCTGGCTTCTGCGCAAAAGCAAGTAGCGAGGACACACACGCGCGCGCGCGCGGCCACCGTGGTTGACGGTAGAAAATAATACGGTGTGCGCGAACTATACGGAGCAACGGGCTTTTACACAATGTATATTCGCTTCTATATATTTGCTTAAAGTGTATGCCATGCTCACCGACGCGCGTAACTGAATACGCGATCTCTTTATTTCACTTTTCGTTCCTTTTATTCTATAGCTTTTGTTTTGTCTCATTACACCTTCGAGGTTTCTGGTCTGGTATTCGTTAAGAGCCCGTCATTTTTCTCGTGTCCTTGACGAAATTTCACGAACGCACAAGACCGCGGTGGTATCTTCAGTCGGCGAAGTCGGAATATAATTCGCTGAAGAAATTGATCGATCCTCGCGCGACCGACAAGAATATATCTTATTCATAATCTCTCATTTGGAAATTTATATTAATGTCACAAAATACCGTATAACGCGTTTGTCCGCGGCAGACAGTCGACGTCTCTTTTTCATGTAGATGCACGCGCGCGCGCGCGCACACACACACACTCGCGCGTCGTATATATCAACATAATTATAGAGCGTTTCCTGTTGGGTTATTAATGGGAAGAGATTTAAAAGATTCATTATAGCGGCGAACTCTGTGAGAGGCAGCGTGCAAAATTTATTTCCGAGAAATTGCTATACTTTGAGCGGGGAAAGAATAAACTCTGCGCTATTTCTCGCGTTTGAAACAAGTTCAACAGAAATCAAACGTCAACTAATGCGAATTAATCTTTACTCCCTAATGACACACATATTTCCTCGAAACGCCTCTCGGCTGAGAATATGATGAACGTGTTAATAATTCGGCGAGTCGAAATCCAGAGTAGCGATGCTCGAGATAATCCTCTTGGGAACGCGCAAGATATCTCAGGAATCGAAGAATTATTAGTATCGCGTGACGTTCCCACTAAAGACACTAAAAATTTACCGTAGACAAATCGAGCGCGTACGAGGAACTTACATAAGTAATGATCGTAATTCTTTGGTTTTAACTTTCTGTATGACAGCAAATTGTCGCTATTGATAATAAGATACGGGTCGGGGGTAAAAAAAAACCAGGCGCGCAATTTCGCGCGCGTTTCACCGAAAAGTCCGGCGCCATTCAACACTCGAAAGAGATATCGCGGAGAGAACGTTTCTAAACGGAGTCATCTCCTCTCTCTTTTCCCGTCGGGACATATCGCCCGACCATCTCCGAGCGAATTCTGCCCACACTGACTGTTAATCTCGCGGGTGATTTTTCTATTTCCAGATGCCAGTTGCTCACAGGACAGCGTGCCAGACGAGAACGGCAATTGCAAATGCGCAGATTGTCCACCTCCCAAGTGTCGACCGGGTCAACGGCCGGTGCTCGTGAAAGAAACGTTTTTTGGGATTCCTGGCAACTGCTGCCCGCGCTACACCTGCGTTCCCTCAGGTAATAGAATCCATAAATGGGACCGCGTTTTCGCGGAAAATAGTGTTTGCCGAGCGTAATGAATGGCCGTGCGCGCGCGCGCGCGCACGCGCGAACACAAAATTGGGCTGTTACTGAACCGAGAAAGTGATACGACGGTGATGGTGGTTGTGTTATATTATCACGCTTTTCCCTTTTATTAAACCGCGCTGAACCGTTCAGATATGTTAAATCAGTGATAATGTTGATTTTGGACAAAATTGAACGTTCTGAATATCGCAAAGGAGAACGCGGACGCTTAAATAGCGAGAGTTAAATAAAAATTCTCGGCTGAAATATATGTATTTGCAATAAGATATTAATTCTCTAAAAAAACAAAACAACTCCGATTTTCTATCACTTGTTGAGTGATTAAATCGAGTGCTTTGAATGAAATGCCAATTAAAAAACGTGTAAGTAGTACGAGAATCGAAGCGCACGCGTGCGGTTACTATGACACGATAAACGCAAGTTCACGGTGTCCAATCGCATCGGTTCTGCAGATCACCATCACCGGGTCGAGTTGTCCTGTCCTGAGGACAGCGTCCTGACGGACGATGGCATCTGCAAGTGCGTCCCGACGTGTCCGCCGCCGCCCAAGTGCCGACCTGGTCAACGGCCGGTCGAGGTGCGGGCGGCCAAGCCCGAGACACCCGGTAGCTGTTGCCCCCTCCACGACTGCAGGCCCTCAGGTAATTACGAAAGGTCGTAATCGAAGGCTGGCTCCTGTCAGGCGATAGGAACACTGCGGAATACACCGTACATGTCGAATCGATATCTCTCGGGAATCTCCTTTCTCCTTTCCTCTTCCCTCCTTTATCTCTCTCTCTCTCTCTCTCTCTCTCTCTTTCTCTCTCTCTCGCTACTCCGGATGTTCGAATTGCAATCTGAGGCGAGTCTGGTTCGCCGGGTTTGCTGCTTCGATGTACATATACTTCTGATATCGGAACGAAAGACTGTTTCCTGTTACATCATGTAATCAACGCGTTTCCTGCGGACGTAAATACATGTAGTGATATCACAGCAAGAGAAAGAGGAAGAGAGAGAAATCGTGAGAACGTTAAATTATGTGACGGGAATAACGAGGTCTTGAAAGAGCGAGGTGTGTTGGGAACGAAAATCACTCTTTGTCGTACAAAATCCGTAGGATTCTCCAGATTTCAGCGAGTTTAGTTACGATGCGGAACGTAACTCTTTTAACTCGGAAATACGAATCCTGTCTTCGTTTGATTACAGGTGCCAAATAAGCAGGGACTATACGAACTTCCGTGCAAGTTTTACGAAACGAACATGTGACTCAAATAGTTTTTTTTTGTTTTTTTTTGTTTTTTTACAGACCGACATGTGACCGCGTTGATTTTTCTCAAATTTGTCTCGAAATCCACGATTACCGGCGAATTAGCGGGATTGTAAGTATTCCGGTTGTGATTGTAAGCAGAGATAATGCTCAGATGCAATATTTCACCGAGCGGCGAGCGGCGGTTTTTAACTTACGACGTTTAAAGTTACACTTACAGCTGCACAGGAAGGGACGGAGGGAGAGAGAGAACTTTCGATCTACCTGTTGAATTTTAATGAAGTCATTCTTATCTCGCGAAATCGCGAGCGGGCTCTCTCGCGCGTTCTTTACGTTGAAATTTAATAGCGCCCTGTATCTGTTTTAAAATTTAATAACGTTTCACCTGTGGTACGAACACACGCGCTCACGGACAAATCATTATACCGGGAACATTATTACCGCGAACAATAGTCTTTTTTCTGGCACTTTCCCACATATATTGATCTGTTTCGCTCGATTATTGTCGAAACGAAATTCGTCGAATTTGGACTTGACAATCTTCCTATTCTTAATATGACACTGAACTAATTGCAACGCTTAATTACATGATCGAATAAAATATAATTGTATATTTCAGCACATTTGAATGCATTGTGTGGCTTACCAAATAGCTCTCTGATATCGTTCTGATTCTCTTTCAACCTATTAGATTAGGTAATTAAATATCGTTTTACATCATACGGTAAATTCACTTTGGTCGCGTATCGCATGTGGAACGGTGTTTAAACAGCTACGCGACAGTTAAACAACGTTCTGCGTTGTTAACAATATTCATTGCCCATAGCGCGCGTTATCGGTCACGCGAACACGCTTGATGCCTCGTTTAATTAATACGCTTTTGTCGAAAAGTACACGCGATAATAAATATTGACGTAAACCCTGATACCTTTCCGCACCGCGGTAAATAGCGATGCAACCAAATTAATTTGTTCAGAGAATTGTCCTCCCTCTCACGGTTTTACACAAAAGTGTACTTAACCGTGTTAATTGCAAAAATAATTACTTCGCAATCGATTTGCCGTCCTAATGGAAACTGATAACGAAGTTTCCGGTTGACTCGTCACATCTTGTGTTTCTGTATCCGCGTTATTTATTTATTATTTTTCGCTCAATTTTTCCGTGTAATATCGATTCAATTTTCGCAATTCTCTCCCTAAGTAAAGTTTTCGATGCGTATATACAGCGAAGAGAATATTTCGCTCCTTTACGTCGTGAGAGATTTTTCTTTTTCTTTTATATCGCCCTCGGTCCTCGGGACGGACTTTCATCCTCCGCGTCCTCGCTGCCAAGATTAGACCTTTAATATTTCCTACAAAGCGCTCTTATTATTGCCCTCAATTTGGTGGGCCGTCGATATCGAGCCCGTTTCCTTCGGTCGCGGCGCAGGTTACAAAGAGTAATGAAACATCTCGAATAATGAAACGAAATAAAAACAAAAAAAACCCCAAAAAAATGTTTTACAAAAGATAAAGGAACACACACACACACACATACGTGTACTCCCTTCCTTTGTGTTTCTTACAAAAATTCGTATTGCGCGCGAGACCAGTCCGGTGCGTATTCTCTCCCTCATACACGACAAAAAAAATTCGCACGAATTTTTTCTCTTTCAGCGCGAACGTATGTTTGTACGTAGTTCCCACGACAAGGAAATAATGGAGGCTATGAGCGGCCGCGCGTCAGCCGCGAGACTTCCGAAAATTGTTTTTGCTTCGGCGTTATACCGCGCCGATTTTTCACGGGAATGCGCCACTTTAAAGTTCGGGAGACGTTATGAATGAACGCTCGTAAATGAGACGGCTCGAGATGGATCGCGCACGTCCATATATCCGGCGCGACCGCCTGACCCACATGTTTCCTTCGCGATGCGGAGAGAAGAGTCTGACCAACGCGCGCTAAAAAAATCGCGCGCACATAAAAAACCGAAACGCGATAATAACCGTAAGTCATTGAAGCGCCTGACACGTACAAATGGATGGAAAGTTGGAAGACAACGCTTTTTTTTTTTTTAGGTTTTCGCATTACTTGCAGGGTCGCTGCGGGTCGTAAATTAAATATAAATCGCGCGAAAAAGAGAAAAATAAAGAAAAAAGAGACAATGTAGATGTTGATCGTGCCGCAAATAGTACTCTAACGCGATGGAAGTTCGTTTCGTATCAGAAATTCGCCGACGTGACGATTTGAATGAAAACTAACACGTGTGCAACGCTATCTCATGCAGAAAAGATCAGCGTTCAAGAGTTTACTATCCGGCTGGAGTGTACTTGAGCATGTAAATTTCATGTACAGGTACTCGGCTCTGTGTAAAGAGGGAGAGAGGAAGGGAAAGAGAGTAGCGCAGAAGAGTAGAGCGCATAAATAAAAGCGCTCTGAGCGATGCACGACGCCTCGCGTGAATAGAGCAGAGTCATCGTCCCGGAGCTTAATCGTGAGATTTTACGTCAAAAATCTCGCTCGACAGCTTTAACTCGGCAGCGATACGATCCCCCTCCGGTCGTCGTTTGCGTAACAAAATAATGTCGTGGATAATCAGATTTTCGCGAGTTATACTCGCGACCGAGAGGCGTGCGACGCCGATCGCAGGCCAGGCTTCCGAGATGCGTGCTTCGAGGAGGAGACTATGAATATTAAGCGAGGATGCAAATCTTTATGAGATTCTGCAATTTCCGTCGCGCTTTGATGATTACCGTGTCTGAGCGCTTGTCGCCGCTGGAAAATCACCGAATAATGACTTGATCGTCGTTGAGGAGAAGGCGCGTAAACGGCCGCTCTATTATATCCGTAATTTCATGTGCATAATTAACGACCGTCTCGTCTAATAACGCGGCGGCGGTTTCAAGGCGAAATTTGTCCTTCAAGATTGCGGTGGGCGTGCATGACTCGTTAAAATCGTTATCGCGCGTCGCGCGATTTTTCGCTCGGGATGAGCGAAATCGCGCCCCGAACGCGGTTTGACGTCGAAAAATTCGGCGTCGCAACAATTTTATGCAAGAGTTCGCAAACTTTTCTCGGGCGAACGCCCAAGTTTTCTTCGTTCGCGAAGCTACCATATTTGGGTTAGAGCCGCTTTCCGACGGTAATACCGTGAGTTATTTATAAGCTGTTTTCGGAAAATGTTTTCTTGTGCTTTCCTTTTAGCTTTATCGCGCGAATCTCGGCGGAACGAATATGTAAAGAGAAGAATAACGTAGCAGTGATTTAATAACAAACTTACGTAGTGCGAACATAATAATTTTACATATATATTATTTTTATGATCGCGAGAGCAAAATGTATGACACCACCCGAGTCGAAATTTTGATGCTACTTTCAAACTTTTGAAGATACTTTGAACCTATTTAACTGACCAATATACTTATTTAAACCT